ATGGGAAATTACAACAGTCCGATTTTGCAGCCTGTTTCCTAAAAATTATATTTATGACAAGCACCTTTCGCCTGTCTCTTTCATGGTTTGCCACGAATAATAGAAAGGACAGTGGGACGTGTGGTAATGGCACAGTAACCCGTCCTTTTCAACAATTTGCATTATATACTTTAGAAATTGTTCCTCATAGTGCAAGCTGTGAACATTTATTTTCTGTATTAAATTTGTTTATTGTAAAGTTATGACTGATAGATTTGATTCGAATCAAACCAGGATCCTAATTTTTTTTATAATTTAAATTTATATTTACACAATTTAGTGTATCTCGGATTTAATGAATTGAGGGTTGATGATAATAATTAACTAAAATTATAATAATATTATTATGTAATGAGCCGTCCCTGTTTCTCACAAATTACATCCAGTATTTTAAACTCGGACAGGGCATAAAACAGTTATCCCCTGGGTCATGTAAGCTCCCTCCCTACCGGGAGGCGCCAAGGCTTATATGTTACCCAGGGATAACTAATATATACTAAAAAAGAATAGATAGAACTCAGCGTTTATAGATGAAATACACTATAGAAATTACCTTTTGCTTTTAAAAAAACAATTGATGCTCTCGCGTATTTCATAACAAAATAACGAAGTTTGGACAACCAATCAAAATTCAGAATCTAGCGGTCCAGGTTCCAACTCTATAGTTAGTATTAGTTGTATGTGAAAATTTTGGGGTGGGGGTGTTTGGATATGAAATTCCGATTGGCTAATTCGAATTTCACATACGTGAATTGCAAATTCATATAAATTTCATTTTCACGCACAACAGTTACACTTATTTAATATTACATAAGCTAAAAATGTGTTCAAAGTTGGATTGAACTGTCTTCAAGCATGACAACTTGCCAAGTTACAAATAGTTTAGTTAAATTTACCTTTTCAAATTCAAATTATCTAAATTCTTTTGCAAGGTCGATTTTTATTTCAGCAAAAAATAAGCCTATTGTGTTTTGTCATTTTTTAACATACACAACCCTAAAGCTCCGAACGGTTCGGTTTCGGTTTTTAAATTATTATTATTGAACACAAAAAAAAAATTTTTTTTTTCTGATAATTTTTTTTT